GATATCGGAGATATGTTTATCGATCGATATTATTTTATATATATATATATATATATATATATATATATATATACATAGAAAAAAAAGAAAGAAAAAAAAAGGAAGAAATCGATATAAAAACGCGTATGAAAGAAGAAAGTTGAAATTTTATCGTACACAACTTTTCTATCGGAATACTCGGGCTACTGGCGGATACGAAAGTCGCAGGAGGAAAAAAAAAGAAAAGAAAAAAAAAAAAAAAAAAGAAAAAAAAAAGGAAAAAAATCGGCCGATCTCTCGATATCTTCTTCTTCCGGTTGGAAGCAAAGTCGAGTTTTATACTCGACTTGATTCGATTCGACTCGACTCAACTCGTTTCACGATTCGCCAACGAGACACGACGACAACTCAACTACTTACTACTTAGAAAGAATCGACGAATGTTACGACAGCAAAACTCGATAACACGCAGTCGATCGATCGCTTTTGTAACGGTTTCAGCTTTGCGATCGATAGGCTTGCAACCGTTAAAGACATCGATATCATTATATCGACGGTCCGTCCTTCGAGAGGGGTTAGAGGGGGAAATCGATGAAGGGAGGTCACTGCCTTTTCATTTGACCTTAGATCATTGAAACGAACTATGATTATTCGATATTTTTAATTTACAAATTATTTATATATATATATATATATATATATATATGTTTATTCATTTATTTATTATTATTTCATAATTATTATAATAATAATAAATTAATATTATTACGATTTAATTGTATTATTATAATTTAAATTATAATTAAATATATATATATATAATTATATAAACAAATAAATGTATTATAAATGAAATTGAATAAATTTATATATTCTATCGATTAAATATTTTTTTTTTCCTTTTGTCACGAGCATTAATTCTGACGATATTAATTCTTCATGAAAAATGCTTCGATCATCGTTATTAAATAAATGCAATGGAATAAAAAGCAGCAAGTGGGCGGACTTTTGCGAAAATGATTTCGATTGGAATGATACGTGAACGCGTGATGGTATACTAATCGGCCAATAGAGAGATATGATAGCAATGGGGATGGCTAAACTAATAGATATTAGTTACAAGGATAGAAATAGATGGATTATTCGACGTGGCTCCAGGTGGACCTTACTTTTCGACATATCACACGAACGAACGAAGGAACGAAGACGACGACGAATAACAGAAAGCAATAAAATAGATTCATTAAATATACGTTTAGTTGTTTCGTTAAAGATCTACAAAACGTTTCTAAAATTGCTTCATCGATTTGGTCAGTCATAATAATAAAACACATATGTAAGTACTTACATTATGCGCGTATCCTATATACTCATTCATTTCGGCCTTGTAAAAATGATTATGTTTTAAAAGCAATTTACACAAACTTTACGCGGAACGAATTAAAATTAAAATTAAAATTAAAGCGAAAGAAATAAAAAGAGAGAGAGAGAGAGAGAGAGAGAGAGAGAAATGTTAGAATCACATTGTATATGCATTTATTTCGAGCTTGGAGAAAAAGATTATATTTTAGAAACGATTATAAAACAAACCTTACTTGACTTGAATGAAAATTAATTAAAACGAAGAAATATAGAAAGAGAAAGAAAATGTTAAGATTATGCATGTATTTAATACGAGCTTGGAGAAAGAGGTTATGTTTTAGAAACGATTAACAAATTTAACTTCACTCGAATTAAAATTAATTAAAGAAAAGATTTACAGAAAAACAGGAAAAGAGAGAGAGAGAGAGAGAGAGAGAGAGAGAAATATTAGGCTCGAGCGTACATACAAGGTCTTTTATCAAACGTAGGTCGAGAATCTAGCGAAGGCTAGACATTTAGAAACTCGAAGGGATACTCACAAACGTGTGTATGTGTGTGATGAGAAGGTGTTAGCACGTAAGTGAGCACAACACACACGCCACAACACATGCACGCACCAAACGCACATACACAGATACTACACACGGAAAGAGCTTATTGACCGTCGAAATTGCCTTTGTTCTCTCTCTCTCTCTCTCTCTCTCTCTCTCCTCTTTCTTCCTTTTACCCTTTCTCCTTCCTTTCTCACTCTATCTTTCTTTCTCTAACGACACTAAGAATCGTCTCTCTTCGTTCCAAAAAAATAAGGAAAAGGAAGAATCGCGTTCTTGACTTTCGTAGTTCCTCGTATAAACTACCACATAGAGATAGAGACAGATAAGGATCGTCTTCCTGGGTGAACGGACGACGAACGATTTTATAATACTTCACGGTCTCGAATTATTTAGGGACTGTATAAATAAATATTAATTTTCTACGTACTTATATACATCGATGGATGCATATGTATATATCGTAAGAACGGAATCGTCGCGATGGAGTCGCGTTTTGTCGTATAGAAATCGTGAATCGCGTTGGATCGGCGGCTTTCGATCTTTCACCGAACTAAATTAATTCTACGGTAATATGATAATAATGGTTAACGTATAACAAATCTTAT